GGCTCTGACGTAAAGTGAAACTCGGAACCTCAGTCTAAGAAGATGCGGGTTCGAAAGTTTAAAACCTAAATCGGCATCATGCGAACACAACCAAACTGCTACTGATTTTCGTTTATCACATGGTTACACATGTCCAAACAGGATGAACTCTAGTTCTTTCAGTAATCCTCATAATTTAGGTGCGTAACTGAAAAGTATGGGTCCGACTTGTGAGCTATTTGTGTCCAAGAACTTCCCAGTAGATGAAATATGGATATAAACAGGGGTTTTCGAAATCCCAGAAGCTTTGAGGAACTCTTCCTGATGCGTGAAAACTGATGAAGGTATTACTTCTTTGGTACAGAGCTCTTTTGCACGAGGTAATAAAACACTGCCCTTTGGTCGCAGCACTCATGTACCATAAATTATCCCCTTTTCAAACACCATTGGAAGAAGCTATGTGACTTCTTATGCGTGGTTTTTGAGAACAGGTATTTAACAGCGTCTAGTTTGAATAAGATAAGAATTTTTGGCAAATATTATGAAATAAAACAAGACTTGAATGATTTGCATCCTATATCTCATTCATTGTGTGTTTGTCCCATTCGTGAAAAATTTTCCAACAGGTCGCATCCTTTATCGCACACCTTTCACATGAACTGACCGAAAAACCTTTTTTTTCATTTGGCTCATTCATTGTGATTTAAAAATAGGCGCTCAAGGTAAGTTGTTTGTCATCGCTTTAAAATGTTAACTTCGCCTTGTTTAAGACTGCCATGTTATAGTTGTCAGAATGAGCGCATTTCGTACGGGTGGGCTCTCAGCTCATTCCTGCATTTTGAGTTTTCTCAGTTGGAGTTTTTGCTACTTAAATAAAACGAAAGTAGTTAAAATCGACGTCATTACTCCTGTTGTTTTCCAGCCAGCGAAACTGCGCTGTCGTGTAGCCTCTCAGAGAATTACGTACATAGGTAGGAGCGAATCGGGAAAAAGTTCGAGGATAAGTCCTTCCAGCAGTATTAATCAAATATTTGACATGTTTATTTGTCATCAACTTCATACGTAGGCTAATGTCAAGTGTCCGTAAGTACATGGTACAGTTTAATCCGGGGATGCGTAGACTGGTGAAGCTGAAGTTTGAGGCTGGAGCCGAAAACATTTTGAATGTGGTTTTTTTGCACGATTAATGGGTCGTCTGGACTTTCTGGCAATAACAACAACTCCGACGGCATTTAGAAATGAGGAGCAGTTAGGCTCACATTCTGGTTTTGGTATGAAGCAATCCTTTGTTCCGCACAACTAAAAACGTTGTTATGCGAATATTACAGATAATGAAGTAGGTGAGTTCCCGCCATCACCTGGGAGATATTCGATGGACTCGTTTTTGCATTTAGGTTTTTATTAAACCGTTTTGAAACGACGAATAATGGTTTGCATATCTCCAGTCTGGAAAATAAAAGCTGCATGTGTTCACTTACGTAAAAAAATCATGAGAGTCATAAAAGAGTTGTGGGCCATTTTGCCCGATTTCACACAGCCCTGCTGAGATTAGGACAGTGCGAGTCAAAGACATCAAAAGGTTGATTCCGTTTCATCAAATATCAATAAGCATATTAGTCCTGGTCAGGAAAATCATTCGTTTTTTGGTTGCTCCTGAATCTGCGCAACGTTAGTAAAAGGGCTAGGGAATCGACTACTTACCAGACCGGACGATGTAAGCGGACAAGCTTGGGCCAATATCCAATGGCCCGTCTGACGGTTCCGCTCTCTACATTCTTCCCGCTTCACAAAGGACACAAACGCATCCTTAAAAAGCCTGGCGGAGGCAAAAGGTGGACTTGTATGATTGTGTTCCAATTGTGCTGCTGGTCTGACCATACAGGAACGAGCTCTTCATGAAGCTCCATTTTTCCAGAGAAATCACCTCCAGTGTTGGCAACTTGCGTCAGTCGGCTTTTTCCCTTCCTCGTTTATTCACCAACTGTACTCCGAAAAAGAGGTTTCACAGAATAAAGGGGTCTACTCCAAGTGGCTTCTGAATCTGAAGTTCACAAGATGTAACCGCAAAGTGGGTTACAAGTGCAGTTGGGGTTCAAACTGAAATGTCCATTCAGTTGGAACAAAACTAACCAATTTTGTACCATTGTACTTCCCTTTTCTACAAATAGGCGGTAAGTCCACATTCCGTGTTGCACTGTTGGAAATTGTGAACAGTCTACTGTTCCCCATACGCCGTTTGGTGGGAAGTCATGAACACTTCGTTGTTCAGGGCAAACAAAGTACGCTGTGCCTTATTAGCTCAGTCCCGTGTCCAGGTAAACCGAGAAACTGAAGCGTAGGGACCCCAATTTTACACAGTTTATGTAAAGTTTTCGTCGTTTGAAAGGTTTCATCTTGCCCTAGAATTCACATCTCATCTTTGATAAGAGGACACAGGCCCATAGGACAGTTCAATATTCAGCTTGTCTGAACTCGCTTGTTGTTTCCGTTTGAAGGCATTCTTTGTGGAGTTTGGTTAAGACTATTTCATTGCATCCCTGCTGACATTTGACAGACTATCGTGGACTCCGTAAGTCGATAGCGGTTGATCAATCCAATGGTCTATGGTTCACTATCGCTAACATGCTCCAGCAGTTTTGATAAACCCCTAGAGAATTCCTACTGCATTAAATATAAAGGGATTTTTGCACACAAAAAAATGAACAACGCGCATAAATCAGTTTGGAGTTTGTAGGCCACCATTCCGTGGCGTCTGGTTTGGTTTACTGGTCTGACTCGCGGACTCCGGTTCACAAGTGTGATATGCTGCATGCGACACAAGGACACGGACACAACTCAACAGTAGGCGATCTAAGTTACGGACGTATTGGAAGCGCCCAGCCTGCGTCACATTCTTCAGATTGGTGTAAGGTGTTTCAAAATGTGTGATGTCTCGAGATGACTCAGTGGTTCGGGCGCGAAATTAGTAACAGAGAGGCTCGAGTTTCGAACCCAACCTCTGCATCTTGACCACCTGTGTCTAAGCTTGCGCAACCTAGCGGTGTCTCAGCACTGTCACAGCGTAGCACTTCAGACTCTATCCGTCCAGTTGATAGGTTGGACAGTGGATATACTAGCAAGAAAAGGTAGAAAAAAGGGAATGAAAAGTAGGCTTCTGAGTAGTATTTAATTAGAAAACAAGTACATGGTGCTAATGTAAAGAGTGTGACCTCGGAATTGACTCCAATTCACATTACCTTGCGTAAACGCATCCCACCTTCTACCAACCAAGCTAGCGTGAAAGATGGCGACCCCATGTCGACACTGGTCACTTGTTTCCTACTTCGAGTTGCCACATAGGTGCCGACTGGATCAGAATTTCACACATATCACAAACAAGGGGGGCTGTACACTGTGAAACTGCCCATAAATTGACCTCGCTCAGCTATCTGGATGGCCCTGAGATGAAGTGACGCAGAGAGGGCAGAGGGTTGGTGATCGTAAAGAGAGTGCCATGTATCAGAAAAGGCATGCGCTCATCAGCAGACATTCAAGCTGGCATCAGTACCTAACCCAAATATGGAGTTCACACAACTGGCTCACCAGTCCCCCAAAAACGAGCGTCAGTGTTGGTCCTTAGTTGATGCTGTCTCGTAAATACTGGCTCCTTGATTCAACTCTATTTAAAACATCATGCAGGATAAACGGGCCCATAATAATCTGACGACAAACTCTTTTTTCCACAGTCACGCAATCCGACAGTAAGTGACAATCCAAAATATTAAATTCACAAATGTTTACGTGAGTCGCTAAACGGACTTGCAATTCGCATTGGGATCTGGGCGGGCGTTAGGGATGAGCAAATGGAACCTGTTTGAAGGCGGCGAATGACTGACGTCCGTTACATTACACTTTTCCGTCTGGTCGTTTCATCTTAGATGGTAAAAGTACCTGTTAGTGTCGTTAGAGATCTTCTTTCAACCTTTTACACGTTTGTCATTGACACTTTGCAAATTTGTCCGAAACTAAAGCTATGACTTTCAGTCCGCCCGAAAATTTAATCACCAAATGTCGCCAAGCAAAGGTTGATTGCGGTTTGCTATCTACATCAAGCGTCTGCAGGGCCAATTTACTGTTAGAACGGGCCGCATGCTTTATGTAATATTCCGCCTATCGTCTCCACAAATGGATGCCCTTCCAGTATGGGAGTAGCGTTGAATATCGCAAAGAAAACGCCATCTGGCACTAAACTGTAATCTCGCCTACAAAACAGACGAATCATCCAGAATGTTTGTGGTGGTTTTAATTTCCTGAGTTTAAAGGCTATTCTTCGGGACTATACAGCTCTCCTAGGACCGCAATTGCTGGGCACATCGGCTACCAAACCAAGTTCGATTCTTACAGCGTCCTCCGTTATGCACACCCATCCGGTGCTGGATTTCTGAATAAAATGACAGAACCAATACTTGAACAAAATCTAAAGCAATATCAAAGTTTCACTGAGTTCTTCCAACGAATACGATTTCTGCTTATTTGCATTTGAAGGAGAGTTACTAGGAGAGTTCCGCAACATCTCAACAGGTGAGTACACTGACTACGCAAAGTTTTTATTGATTAAATAAACAAGAGGCATCAATGTCGGCGGTACAACTGTTCTGCTAAGTGTGTCCAAGCCCACCAAGTCGCTGATCAGATTTACTCATGAAAGCTATACTACTGAAGCGAACAGTGAGTAGTATAACAAATCAGAACAATTTATTCCCAGCCATGGCAAACGGTTCCTTGCAACATGCTTGTTAGGCGGAATTCCATACGGGTCCCGCTTTACCGTCGCACTCAGGATCAGAATAATTTATTCCCAGCCATGGCAAACGGTTCCTTGCAACATGCTTGTTAGGCGGAATTCCATACGGGTCCCGCTTTACCGTTCGCACTCAGGTGCTGCTACGGCCGAGAAGTCCACCCCAGGCGAAATTGGCCAAGAAGTCGGGATGCTTGCCGGTTCGGCATCAAGCCGAGATTTGACTGGTCGGAAGTTTGGACCCAACAGCCAATCACGACTCGGTATTGGCCGGATGCCGGTTGCCAATGGCGCATCCAGAACGCGTCAGAATTTCCAGAACGTTGTAGCCGAGTACGCTGTATATACGAAGCGCTGTACAACCGGTCCTGACTTCATTTCGGGCGTTAATATACCTTGTACACCTTTCGTGGTTGTTTTGACGTGGACGCTCAGACCGTGGGAGGCTCAGACCGAGTCTACTTGAATGCCTCTCACTAACCGTCCAGTAGCTAGCGAATCAGTCCGCATTCGGGTTTATTTTTAGAGAGCAAATTCATGAAACTGATAAGCCATAGGGACCTCACTAGTTCTTTTGGTCACATGGAAACATCCTCTCGCTGTGTCTGGTTTGATCCTTCATGTTGCCTTCGTGAAAAAGCTGTCCCAGGTTAAATTCTCATCAAACATCAAGCGCAGCTGAACTGTTTCAATCCTACGTATATAGCCGACTAACGGGAACTGATGTTGCAAGTGAGGCGATTAGGTACTGGTGCACTAAGTGTAAGTCATGGTTTGTGTAAATACAGGAATATGCGCTGCCGCTGATCATCAAATACCCTGATTTTTGAGTTTATCGGTTCCTCGTTGGCAATAGCGCCCGTATCAGAGAAAGTTTGAGTTCGATGACATGATCTTGCCAAAGGCGCAAAAGCTAGGGAGAACCGTTGAGCCCGGTCAAAAGAAAATCAACATGATCCATGAAGTATTTATTACTTGTCCCAATATTGGCAGTGTTACAAGATGTTTGGACCTGGTTCAAACTAACAAACAAACATATAAAAAACGAGTGAGTTAACTGAATAAGTGAATAAGTAGACCGACAAACAGATGCAAATGGCAGTGAGCTGTGCCGGACACACAACCAATGGTATGGACACGCATCTCGAGAAAAACACGACTTGACAAGTCCAAACAGCTCACGGTCGTTTTACTCGGCAGAACCACCTCAAAGGCTGGCTGTGAGGTGAGGCACAGTAAACAATTATATCACCTAAATAACGGTCGTGGGAATCGTGCAAAAAGGGCGCGGTTCTCAATTCTATCCGAAAAAACACAGAACTCTACAGTCAAGGCACCAGATTTCAGTGCTTTATTTGTTCACCATTTTCAGCCGTTCAGTGCCAAATCGCTAGCTGTTTGACCGATCCTCGTTAACGAGGATCACTCTGGTTGTTGGTTAGTTCGCTGAGCTGGGCAGTTTGGTTGCAAACGTTTCATCAATCCCGGTGACACCATCAGGACGTTGTTAGGGAGCGTAGCGATGGTTCGGTGGTTGTGCGCTGATTAGTGTTGCGGGTGTGTTAATATACGTGCTGATAGCCGAGGTTGATCTTCGATCCCGATTAGTTGCTCGGTCGGTAGCAACTACAACTACAGCTGTAGTTTTGTTTTGATGACAGATACCCTTTTTCGCCCAATGATTATCCTGGAGGAAAGCTGAGTTGTCTTTGAAAGTAACGTGTAGGGTGGCTGATAGCACCTGTCCTCTGTCTGTCTCATTGTGGTGAATGGTTTGAAGAAAAACGGGGTTTCAACTTGTTATGGAAACCGCGGAGTGGAAATTATCTCACCTATTTCAGCTCCCGTGGCGATCAGTAGAGTATGTCACTGAGGTGTGGAGTGGTTGTCTGCTGGAACACTTGCCGTTGCTGTTCCTGCTGCTCATCGACAATTTTCTCTCTGGGTATTGATCCTGGCCTTCTGCTTACTTCACACATCATCAGTGTCATCGACAGCATAGCGTCAGTGGTCAAACGCTGGTAGTTCGCTGCTGCACAATCATACATCCGGACGCTCATTCATACAATTTGGACAGCAACTGACATGGATGCCATCGACGTCGAATAATAACAGTAAGACTCAGTGAGGACCAACAGGGACCCATCCTGGATGACTAGTCGCACTGACAGCACCCAGGCTTTTCGTAACCTCTTTCATACCCCTCTGCCAGTTTACAGATTGACAACCGCTCGTCTTGTGCCGCTCTCAGTGAGGCCTCGAAAACAACATTCTTTTCGACATGCACAACACATGGCCTAGCCAACGCAACTTCTGGTGCTGCACAAATTCTTCGACTGAATCCCCTGCTGCACAACCGAACAATGGCTTTCTAATTTCCCCGCTACGGATTCGCCGGCAACAGCCCGTAGAATCTGTGGTTTTGAGGCACCTAAAGTCACATACCTGAAGACGTCTCAGTTCGGCTTCCCTTTTCAGGCGTATGAAACACATGACTAAGACAGTCTCGCGGACGGGAGGGGAATCGGGCTGTCGAATACACTAGCCGGATAGAGCGTGGCCACTGATAAAGTCGGTCAGTCAGTTTAAATGCACACTTAGGTTTGACGAGGAGGGGAGGAAACTCACGCGCCGGTGGGAATTTTCCAGAAATCAGAAGTTGTAAATTCTACACTTCTAACGGAATCCGACCAACTAAGTTGAACAGACAGGCTTTTCGCAACGAAAATCTATCACTTATGTATGTTTCATTCCTTTTTTAGTGGAGACACAATTGCTTCGTAAGTGGGCATCGTTTTCCGAAGAACAAGTTTGGTGGAGAAGTATACTTTAAAGGACGTGACTGGTTTTTCACAGGGGTCTTTTGGTAAACATTACCCCGAACTGGAACACATTTAATGAAGGTCGCACACACACATGCCTAAATAAAAAAAGTCGCATCTAACCAATTCCATTCAAGTTAAACTTAAGAGAGGTCACCAGACATGGACAAATTCCAGAAAAGTGCGGGTCATTCGATCCCACAGCTACTTCCCAAATGCAAGGTAGACTGAACACAACACAGTTCCATCCAAGAACCAAATGTCCTTTGAATTGCCATACCCTCGCGTGAGCATTAATCAGGATGACCACTGGAGCCTGACCACTAATCTTCACTGGTCACATTCAAAAATTCATCCGAGAGCAGACACGATTCGTTACCTTGATGGTTCATAGCACTGAAGCCGTTCCAAAGTAAACAACTAAGGAATTTGGAACACATAACCAGCTGTGTGAATCTATTATGGTCTACGTGTCACTGATCTTTCTTTCAACAATGCTAACTGGGCCGAGTAGTATTTTATAAAACAGACAGCAAGAGAGCGAAAAAAGAACATAAAGTGAAACAATTTTTTTGGGGGGGGGCTATGTTGTCGCACTATGCAAACAGAACTGCGCGTGACAAGAACGGCTGAAAATCAAGGACGGGTTGAAGGTCATAAACAAAGCAACCAATCAGATATGAAGTTACCACAAGTGTTTGACCTTGTGACTCAAATTCCGAACCTAAAGGGTAGCCTGATACCGCCGCCTGATCGATACTATCGCATTAGCTGCTCATGCGAGGTGCTGATTGGTTCGCCTTCGAGTGATTTGGCAGATTCATGGCGTCATGGGTTACTACCACCACACAAACGATACTGTTTCAAACAGAAAATTCCACACAAATGTGTGTTGCATGTTCAGGGAATTTAGTCTGCAAAGGCAAGCGGGATGAGACAATCCCATGTCCCTCAGAGCTTCCGTATCTGATCGTCAACTCATCGAGCTTTTTCGTGTGAATTTGTCATACAGACAAACTAATTTCATCCGCTTGTTATTCTTCCAATTTCAAATGACCCGGAATTAGTCTATCCAAATTTTACACCTCCAGCTTGAACACAAAAATGATATTGAATAAAGCCCTTTAAATGTTTGGGTGACTACCTAAACAAATTCTGTTTTATTCGATTTCAGTCGCATGCCCATCCGACTGTAAGTTTTCTAAGATAGCTTATCTTGGTCACAAGGCTCCAAAATTTTCATAAAACGAATTTTCATGCCTTATTTGAGCATATGAATAACATTTTGGGTTGATATACCCTCAGTAATGCCTAAGGGTAGACATCTACTTTGCTTGGAGGCCAGCGACTTTTGCATCCCTCCATACCCGGCACATTTCACGGGCTCTCACTCGGGTTGGGATCAGGACGCTGGATTGAGCGGTGAGTCCACATGACCAGACAAAGACCATTCGGTGGCCTTCCGCGGCATCTAAGGGGAATCTCTTGCCTTTTGCCTACTTGTGGTGAGAACTGTCAAAGGGCGTCTTATAGTGTAACAGTGTGCATGAAGACCTTTGATCGTATTGAGTGTTACCAGTTAACTCATCAGCCGGTGTGATTGGGCCAAAGACAGGGTCACAAGAGGCGAGAAGTTGGTGTGTAGGGGTTAGATGGAGGTGCCTTTTCAACCAATAAGATCGACAGGTTAGCAATGATGAACGATGAAATTACCAGTTCTGTAATATACATATGTACTGATCAGACCGTTTGTAATCACTGCACTTGTTGTTACGAGGAGACAGAGTTGAATATCATTCGGCTAATCAATAGGTGATATCTAATACATGTGAGGACAGTGAATTGGTCAACCTGAATTGCTGACAAGGAGAACATAGAAGAAAGCAAGGCCTGAACAAAAAGGAGCTCGTGGCTTCTCCGAGACGAAACTGAATGACATCAGTTAGCCGAGACGTCATTGAACGTATGGTGTTCGCCCTATAAAATATGCTGAGGCAATCTAATTCGAATCAGCATTGAGAATCCTCCTAGTTGGACGCTGATCTGGGCTAATCCAAATGCCCTGTCACACCATGTTTTCATATTCTGTTTGGTTTGGATAGGTTATTTGGATCTATACCCATGTTCGACACGATTGTAACTCGACCGTCTCACAAAGCTCTTTGGCTGAACACCACTCAGTTCGGGATTGCATGACCATTGATTGGTTGGAGAGAGTTAGTCAGGGCACGTCTGACCGTGTTAAGGATTGTACGGAATGACGTTCGAAAATTGAAACAAGCCCTCAGTGAAACTGCGGAACATCACCACAGCCTGGTTCCTCGTCGACTTACTCAATCTCATCGTTGTGCTTACAATCTGGAATGCTTCTCTGCCAAACAAGCACGTATTCAGTGTATCCATTGCGTAATGGGCGCGTTTGGTGCAGGTTTGTCCTAACAACTCCGAACAATAACTCACCGAGTTTCATCGAAATCGGTGAAGTGCCACAACCTGCATTGTTTCCAGTTGCGTACAGAAAGGGTCAAAAGAGTCCCAAGAACAAACGCGTTGTAATTTTTTTTCGGATGGAGGGAAGCTCTCAATTTCTATGCCATTTTGAAGGGAGCATGCAAAACAACAATAGGCGACAATTCGATATACGCAGCAAAAGACCGATCTATTGCAGGTTTTCTGGTGCGACTAAAGTACCTGGTGCATAATCCAACTTTCCTTTTCTAATCAACTCGCTGCGTTTTCGTGGGGCACGTCCAAGTGGCGGGATATCGCTTGTTGAGCAAGTATGGCTAAAAACACGGTTCGAATGCAATAACCGATGGAGCTTTTGAACTCAAGGGCCCCAAAAATTGTGAGCCCTGTGCGCATAATGATCTACTGCTGGCCTGTGAACAGATTATCGATGACACCTCGATCCATTTGCACCGCCGTAAAATGGGAAAGAACCTTTAGTTCCCTGCGTCAGAATTAGTCAGATAGGCACGTCTGTACTGCTACTCCATCTTGTGCAAGTATCCTTCGTATAGAGTACGCACGATTATCGGATCATGTCGCCTGTCCGAGCTAGTCTTCCCGCTCCATACAGACGCAAATAGGCAGATAGTGACGACACGGTCTAAACCGGAGCTTCGTGTTACCTGAGCAACAAGGTAAAATAATGCATTTCTGAGGCTCAGAGAGAGGTTTCCTATGTACAGTCCACGCTCGACCATTGGTCCGGGTCGAATGGAGCAGATAACCATGTAAACTTGTGAACCAGACAGGTTGCCTGCTAAATATGGCGTTTACTAACTGTCTCACTGATAAGAGGTTCGTAGGGACCTGTTTCATGGGACAAATGAAAGAACGCGCGACGGTTTTCCTGAAGCTGCCCTATTATTTTGTTTCTGGCTAAAATAGATTTTACCGTTCGAAATCAACCACTGCAGACTAACCCAGGAGTGCAGCAGAGAGAGAGGACAGTTTAGCTTCAAGTAAGCAGCTGAGATTTCCTGCCGACACTGGGGAACTTTCATTCAACGCATAGATATTGCTGATCAGATTTGGCTGCAAAATCACTTGAATGTTCGTGAATTTCCAGGACGGTGGTTTTCATTGGCTTATTCCTATCCATCTGCCTTCACAGTTCTACCGCTGTACCAAATACAAGGTGAGGCATACAAACCTATCCGAATTTCCTCACTATCCGCTAACTTTTTGCATGAAAAGCGCAAAAAAAACTAAGGAATGATTACGGAAAAAATACATCTGCGTCTGTTATTCTGCATCAAATTAGAATTTGCTGTCCTGATTTACAACGTCGGCCGCCTAATGCATCGATCTCAAAATGCCTCCTCACTTCAGAGAACACGGAACACAAGCCCACCTGGGGGGAAGTTATTTGTGAGTTCATGGTATACACACAGTGCAAACAACAACAGTACGACAACTTTTGAGAGTTTTCTTCCGAAGTTCTTCTTGAAGGAACCTGAACCCAGTGTCTAGAGGTGAGCAACACTAGGTTCGATAACAGCCGCATAAACGAGAGATACAGTTGAGTCTCACCAACAGAGTCTAGGTTGAAAAAGTGAAAGCGGTTTCTGAGAGCAAAAAACATGTCGAAATGGTGTTGCCCTTGATTTGGATTAATTTCCTGCAACGCAAATCTGTTTGGTTGCTTTTAACCTGCTTCTGTGTGTGTGTGTGTGTGTCACACAGGTGCTCTACGCCTGATGCTTCAGGAAATGACCAGTAAGTAACTGCTTGATAATCCTCATTCCTGGTTGTTTACTTATAGCCAACTACGACTTATGGACGGTGTTCCCATAAGGCGTCAGTAGTTTACTCAGAAAAGACAAAAATCACATAGCTCGTGCGAGATGTCGTCACTCAAGTGATCAGGTCACTGTGGACCATGTGATGTGAGCTGCGAAGATGCAGAACAGTTGGGTGTTATGTCCTGCCCAAGCAAAAAATTGATAATCGTCTGCAAACCTATTTTATGGCTTTTAATTACTAACCACGGGAGCCACGGGTTCGAGTCTGCATGCGGATAAGTGAGGTGCACAGTTGTAGTGACCTCTAACCGAAATGAGACAGTCCTAAAAGGCCCCCAGACTTTTAACAAAAAGACTGCTTTTAGCAATGAATGAAATCTCTACTGAACAACAGCACAACTTCGAGGCAACGGATAATACATGTAGTTCGGACGTGCTCGAATCCAAGAGCGTGTTGTGAGCACTGAAAAGAAAGGATAGCACGGAAAACAGGTGATTTGGCACGTCTTAGTTTCGCAAAAAACGTTCCAGGGCGGGATCCGTAACTTCAGGGGTACACTCGTCGCAAACATATTTATCTACTCAGTACACGTAAAAATCTGTTCCCAATGAATTGAATCGAATGAGTTGGGTGTACTGGGGGCATTGGGTCTTCAAAAATGTTGCTTTACTGTATGCAGTTCAGTAAAAAACGAATAAAGAAACAAGTTCTCTCGTTTTTTTAGACTTAAATGCGATTATTCTCCGGGTGGCTATGGAAGTTTGTGAGTGATTATTCTCCACATATTCGTTTTGACCTGCTTTTGTCGTCTGTCATCGTCGGGTATCAATGTGAGCAAACTCCCTCGAGTTTCCGCTCAGCATGCTTCACCAACAGCGAATGGAAGAGTGTGTGCCTTCCTGAATGCTAGTGTTACGAAAACAAAACGAACAAACCTTCATCTGGTAATGTTTTGGAATATTGGTAGCTCGGGTGTATTGGTTGGTAATTGATCAGGTGGCTTCCTATTTTTAGTAGCCTGCTGTTCTATTGATTTCTTCTTTGAGTCCTTGTCCGGCCTCGGGTTCTGTGGTTCTGGATTTCCTTTGTCCTCAGAGGCTCGTAGGCAGGATCAATCTCAATGTGCCTGTTTATTGCTCCACCAATGGAGTACCACGCCTCCATGAACTCGCGTTCTTTCTTTGTTCTTGCTTGGCCCAGTATTCTGACGTTATTCCAATCGAAATGGTGTCCTTCCCCATCTTCGTGTGCAGAGATGAGAGAGAGTTGGTCATGTCTCTTGGTGGCGAGCTTATGTTCGGTGATTCTGGTTGACAGTTTCCTCCCTGTTTGTCCCACGTAGTGTTTTTCACAATCATTGCAAATCAATTGCCAAGCTCGGCGAACAGATCAACAGCCACCTGATCAATTACCAAACCTTCATCTAGAAAAAGCTCCAAGCAAGGAAATGATCTCGATAATTCCCAGTTCGTTCCATTTCATTGAAGCAAGCCCTCCTTGTAGGAAAATTTCACATAAAAAACACCATTTTCGTTGTTCAGTTTTTCGTCACATCGATTCTGCGAGGAGGCGGAAGTCTCCACGATCCAGAGGAATACACTCTACGCCTACGAGCAAGTGACATCCAAACCTAAATGCGATTTAATCACAGTGATAATTGGTGGCCGAATGCTCAAACTACTGGTGTAACGGTGATGAGGGCATGAGAGTAGCATGTTTTCGCGTAATTCCGGTTTGCTTCTCTCGAAAAGTGAGATCTGTTACGGAATTTGTGGCATAGCTTTGTAGCATTTGCTTGGATTTGAGCAACAGTCAATGAATATCCAGGAAAGTTCAGAAAGGCGCGTACCTTTATTGCGTCTGCTTGGTTGTTTATCTGCTTCCCGAGGTTGGCTTATGGATTACAAATTGATTACATCAACCAAGCGTCATCGTCAGAGCAGCAGGGTTGGTCCTCCACTTTGCCTGTGCCCCAAAGTGATTTGTTCCGTGAAATTAGGTTGACTGGCTTGCAATCTGGGCTGCGCTTTTGTGCCAATTTTTGTAACCCGTTGGTTCGGTTCGGTGGCTTCGGTTCAGTTCCCTCGTTCTGAGTGGGCCGTTTCCTTTTTACTTTGTGATGTGGCTCTGTTCCAACTGACTGGTTGACTTGATGAACTTCGATTTCGCTAGAGATCTCGTTTGATCCGATGGGTCCTGTTGTATCGTGGGTGGCCGTCTAGCGGTTAAGCCTGCACTGAATCTGCCAGACTACGCCATAAGGAGAAGGCAGAGGACTCGGGACATGGCTGTATTGCCAGGACAAAACATACAGAGCTTCTGTGTGAATATATAGGGTGACTAAATGGCCAAATATGATCGTTCACCTGTTCGCTCCGTACAGCCAATGGCGGTATTCTGGTCGTGAACACTTTCGGCCCCACTCTAAGCTTGCTAAGCCGTGTTTGGTGAGCTCCGCCAGCGCACCTGCTTTCCGAGCGTGTCGTACCGATGGTGACCTTGGGGACGCGTCACTCTCTGCACATGTACTTGTTCCATGTCTGGGCGCGTCCTGACAGGTTTGTTGACTGAGTTTTGGCTGTTCAACTTGCCACATAGTTTGGAAAGCCGTTGCAATTGAAGTTGGTCAGTTAACCAATAAGGGTGAAAGAAATCAGACCACAAAGAAAGGAAAAAAAGACGGCCCACTCCCGGCAAAAGTGCGGAACTGACAAAGTGAAGGCACCGAAAGAACGAAGCAGATACGACAACGTAACCCAAATTCGAAGTTGATCGGCCAACTTACGCTAAAGTCAGCTGGGGACCAACCAGTTTGGAGCTACTAGATACGGTTTAGAAACTATATATATATATATATATATATATAAAATCCTGCACGATGATGTCACTTTGATTGATTAAACGCTTGCAATAGAACTGTCGATTTCGACGAACAGACCAACAACCAAAAAGCGTACCCGAGCTTCCTATGTTCCACCGCGTCACCATCTGTAGGCCTGGCCAAACTTTCGGAAGGGTTAGAAGACATCAAACCTCTATCTCGATCACACAACTAGAAGAACACGTGATCTATGATTTGCACTGACTACTCATTCCTTCTCAATGAGAATAGAGCTTAGAAAAGAGCGGGACCGTTGAACTGAAGCACC